GTCACCTGCAAATCTCACTTCACTGGCTCACTAATTTCAATACTGATATGAGGTGATTAATAGGATCTGAAACACATGTGCCCTACTCATAGGATCCTATGTGTGAAATAAAAGTTCAAAATCCCACGTCAGGAGTTCCATCTGCACAGCACTGCTTACTTGGAGGAAAAGGAGTGTAATGCGAGGTCTAGAGAAATAAAGCGTGTAAAATATCAGTTACCCACTCCATCAGCAAAGTCAAAACACTTAAACGCCTCCCTAAGTCTCCTGACTCTACTTAACTCACAGGTTCACTTTCGTGTCAAATTGTTCTCTAGTCCTAAACCTGTCTTAGTTTCTGGATTTGCATGCCTACATCCAAGGTATTTAAAAAGAAAACCTTTAAATATCCACCAAAGTGAAAGATCTAACCACCATCTCACCCACAAATGTCAGCCCAATTTAGGTAAAAATACCACAACCATCATCCAGCTAAGTTCCATGAGGGCAGGGCTTTGTTTACTTGTCTGCCAAAAACGGTGCCTGGGACATAATAGCTGCTCAGTAAATAGAGCTGAATAGCTGGTCCATGACAGACCCTATGGGGTGGCAGAAAACAAAGTAAATGAGCAAGAATTTGAGGCAAGAACTGTCTTCTATGCCTATTATGATCACTGTTATTTAAATATTAAATCAATGAAGTATACATGAGAAAAAAGACAAAAAGACTAGACACACAGGCATATCCATACACGAGTTAGTTCTGAAGGTACGATTTCATGCAGAGCTCACTGAGCTTCCTATTGTAAAAGAGGAAGTGGCACTTGTTTGAATGATTTTGATTTAATGAAGGTCAGGAGAAGGAATGTTTACATACGAAACATTTTTCATTTCACATGGAGTAACTGAGTAAAAGATAGTATCAACTGAAATTCCATCAAATTCCAGAGCATCTGCCCTAAATCCTAGGTTTTTTCATTGCACATTCTACCTAAATGCCAATCACTTAAGTCACATGAGAAAATGGGCAACTAAATAAAGGACTTGCAGTAGGATTGTTCCCTGGGGTGGGATTTTCCCCTATGTAGGATAACTTCTGAAAACATTTTACCTGATGGTATTTGGCTAATGTTTTGTCAGTCTAATGCCACGCATGCAGTGCAAATACATACTAGCAAATAATATCAAAGTCCTACCCCGCCCCCCCTGAAAAACCCCATCCCACGCAAACTCACTCCCTGCCTACACACTGAGGATTGTACCACTTTCACAATGCAGCCTGGTGTTCAGAAACCCATGCAGAAATAGTACAGTCATAACACTAAACTGCTAATAATGCTGCTGCTGGCTGCCGTGCACTAGATGGCCACTCTGTGCCAGGCACCTACCTACAGAATGATTTCATGTGCTAGAGCCTTCAGTCCTGACTGCCAATCTGAGAACAAGGTACCACTATTACTGCCCCCTTCTTGAGGTGAAAAAATTGAGGCCCCTAGAGATAAAATAACTTGTCCAGGATCGAGTACGCGAATGAGCCATGATTTAACCACTGCCTGTGGAGATCTTAAGAATTAAGATAACATTGCCTCTTTGAACTTTTATTTGCTTTCCCTGACCACCTTCTGACAAAATAAGCATAGCTTTCTAAATTAATTTCAATACCAATTAAATTTATACTCCAACATATGACCCAGTTTCTTTCCAAAAAGGGAAAATATCTGACAATTTTCCTTCTCAAGGAGGGATAATGGTCCTCCCGCCTACAAACAGGTTAACTTAGCAAGACTCTGACCCAGTTCCAGCTGTGCTACGTATTGCTCTCCAGGCATTTTTTTCCCTAAAATAGCCTGGGGCTCAGGGTGGAAAAAGAATAAAACATTACCTACTAAAGCATGTCATCAAATTAAATGTATTAGCACCAATACCATAAATTAAAGCAAGTCAAGAAGTGCCTCATTTGTGAACGCTAGGATGGCCGCATGAATCTGTCTACCTCTGATAGTTTGACCAGGAGGCCGCCTCCCCAGAGAATGATACCAGTGTCCTCCTCATTCCCAGAACAAAGCCCTTGCCCAGGACCATGGGTTTCAAAGTCCGGGAAATGGGCAAAACACACGGTCACACAGCTTGAGTTCCAACTTTCCCACTTACTAGGTAAATGTGGAGAAGGTATTTTAACCTCTAGATCTCCCATTTCCTCCTGGTAAAATATCTACCTTAAAGGCATTATTATGATGGTTGCGTGGGGTGCTGTATGGGAAATACTAGCCCAGTCCTGGTACTCGGTAGATGAATGACGGATATAAAACATTCTTCCTCCTCTGGAAAGACCTTCCTCACTGGTGTGTGATGGCTGACTTGTAAGAAATGACTATTAAGTTTTTAGGTATTTTCCAAGCCAGTTATCAACTACAGCCATCACTGAAAATTAAATCATATACTTTTTAATGTTTTACTTATTTATTTTTAGAGACAAGGGAAGGGAGGGAGAAAGAGAGGGAGAGAAACATTGAAGTGTGAGAGAAACACGGATCGGCTGCCTCTTGCATGCCCCGAATTGGGGACCTGGACCACAGCCCAGGCATGTGCCCCCGACTGGGAATTGAACTAGTGACTTTTCGGGTCACGAGCTGGCACTCAATCCACTGAGCCACACCAGCCAGGGCTGAAAAGTAGGTCATATTAACTTAAAATTAATATTATTAAAAACACAGGTGGTAAATACTCAGACCTCATCACTGCTTACTAGTTTACGTCATTTTACTGCTATCTGTGCTCTTGAGATTGTTTACGTCTACTGTCTATCAGGCAGCAGGAATACCGCACAATGATGGGCTCCAGCACTTCTCCCCCAAGTCCACATTCAATGACGTCGTGTTTGTAGCTGAAATAAACCACAAAGGAGTGGTTCACATGGGAACTGGCAAACATAAGTCAGCACCGCAGTGCTTTGGAAGCCAGTTATTAAACATTCACCAGCAAACCACTGGTGTTCATATCTTATCATATTCCTTTCTGCTACAGCATCTTTCATCTCTACTCTGCACAAGCCGACCACGTATAGACCCATGTCCATCAAATTTAAAATAAAAATAAAAACAGAAACCTAACCCCCTCCAGTTTCCATCCTTTTTCTCCATTCTTTCACTGCCAAATTTACTGAATCTGTTCTGTGTATGCTTAATTCCAATACTTTTCACCATCACCTCATTAAATTTAGTCATTTAACAAATATTCGTGCAACTATCAGCCAGACACTGTGACAGGAACTGGAGATAGAGACGAGAGCGAAAACGGACGTGGCCCCTGCCCTCGGGATCACGGCCATAGCAGCCTGACTTCGTCCCACCTTGAAAGTCTACAACTCTCTACTAACTCCTCTCTTTTCTCTTCCTTTGCTTCCTTAAAAACAATTTCTAATTTCCCCAACTGTTTATCTTCCTCTCTTCCACAGCCCTCCCCATAAAAGTCAAGATTTCCTCAATGTTTTGACTGTTAATCCCCTTCTTTCTAAAGAATTTCATACACTACTGTGATTTTTATCTTACCCTCAGCCCTCAGAAAACTTATTTCTCCCCTTAACTTTCCATCTCAGTAACTGACACCACCATCCACCCAACTGTTTAAGCCCCAAACCCCCAAATCCTTGTTTCCTTTCTTTCCTTCACCCCAAACACCAGCAAGTCATGGTGGATCTGTATCCAAAAGAGATCCTACATCCACTACATCTGTTCACTCCAGTCTCAGTCACCCTCAGCCAACACCCTTCTTTCTCCCTCAGTCTATATAAAACCTCTTAACTCTTTCCCTGCTTTATTCTTATCTCCAACATCATTTGCCAAGATGAAGCCAGAATGTTTAACGTAATAATTTCTCACCATATTAAAATTTAAAAAAAAAACAACTCCAAAGTCTTTCCATTCCACTAAAATAAAAACTTGCTTCCATGGCTACCACCACCCTTCACTTCTGGGCCCTGCCCACCCCGTGACCTTGCCTTTCCAATGCCCACTTGCCCATTACCCCAAGTCGGGAACCCTCCGACCAGATTTTTGCAGGGCTAACTCTTCTTCTGACTCAGGAGGATGCAGGAGGCCTTCTGTGACCAGCCAGTGCCAATTTGCCTGGCCAGGCCCCCTCATCCTTCTCCATCACATTGCTCATTCGTTGCTGGTTATTCGGTTTTCCTACTAGAAAGGAAGCTTCGCTAGAGCAAAGACCTCGTCTTCCTGATTCACCAGCACATTCCTGGTGCCTAGAATAGTGCCTGGCACGTGGTACATACTCAATAGGTATTTTATTTAAAATAGATATTTAATGCGTGAATGGAGCGAGATACAAAAGAAATACAGGAAAAAGTGGGAATAGTGGGAAACAAAGACCCTGAAAAAGAGGGGGTTTTCTAGAACTGCACCGAAAAATAAGAACAGCAATCTGAAGTAATAAAGTGCTAACAGTATGAATTGAATTTCCATCTTTATTAAATTCTGTCTTGCCCATGGCTTGTGCTATTTTAGAGGCAATCTAATTTAGTGAGCACCTGTTCTGATAAATCTAATGTTAGTTTTCATGGCTAGGTCAAAATATTTTTAAAAAGAAAGAAAATCCCATGCTTTATAAAGATGTCCCCACATGCTTTAAACATTTCAGAGAAGCCAAGTCCCCCAGCTTTCTCCTGTGCTTACACTGTCATAAGCTCCTATCACACACAAAGAGCAGCACAGAGCAGGCATAGCGAGCGCTCTCTCCTCCCCCGGAAAACCAACGCAGGGTTCTTCCACCAGGAAAAAGAAACTGTTTATCCTTAATTCAGTCTTCACAGATCCACTCCTCACCCCTGCTTTTAAGTAACAGCAGATAACAGTGCTTTTTCTAGCTACTCCTTTCTTATCTGGTCTAATACAGGGAAGGAAGGGAAGGAGGAGGGAGGGAGGAAGGGAAGGAAAGAGGGAGGCAGAGAAAAAAGGAGAGGGGGAGATCAAAAGAACCGACTCAGGCCTTCAGTTCTCCTATCAACTCACATGGGTGATGCTGGATGGTGAAAACGCACACAGTCGAGAAGCCCAGCCCAGTACCTCATCATGGACCACACAGCTCCAGGAGACGCGGGGAATCCACTGCTCTTGGGTTCCGGTGGCAATGGGGAGTGGCAGCCACTCCAAGCGCCTCTGTGAGGGAACCGCTGCTGCTTTCCATTCTCCCGGAGAGGGTGCGCGGGCAGTGAGGAGGGCTGGGGGCTCCCCGGCTGCTGTGGGCTGCGCTGATGGATGACCCCATTGCTCCTAAACAAAGTCACACGAATGACAAGGCTGGCAACAAGAAATGGCCATCCCCTGTCCCACCCCAAAGTCCTGCTCCTGGAAGCAACCATTCTCCAGCATTTCAGCTCTTGCTTCCGGTATGAATCACGGTATTTAAAAATAACACAATTATAATGTATTTTTGATTTTAAGACTTAGTACACTGACTTCCTAATACAGAAAACTAGGACTCCGTCCCTCTTATATAGTCACCCACACACATACACCCTATTCTTCACCCCTCATTCTCCAAATATATTTCTCTCATAATATTTGATTGAAGTGGTATTCAGCATTTGCATAATTATGGTCTTATAACACACAGCTGATCCATACAAAGTACTGTGACTGCATTTTTCTTCCATGAATCCTCTCATATATATATGTGTGTGTGTGTGTGTGTGTATATGATATACATATGTCATAACCACTGGGTGGGCAAAACATAAAAAGTCTGACACCACCAAGTGAGGGTGAGACTGTGCAGCACAGGGACCCTGAGACACTGCTACCATCATTTCAAGAGCTGTATCTCGACATGTGACGACACACTGACCACGCACCTACCTGTGGCCACAGCAACTCCACTATGGTCTGTCCCGGAGAGTCCCACATGTATTTGCACAAGGAACCCCATTGAAATGTAGTTTACAATAGCAAAAAATGTGGAAAGAATCTATTTTCCAACTGCATAACAATGGATAAATAAGTTGGGATAATCAAATACCACACAACAGTTCAAACGAACAAACTATAGCTATCGTATCGACAATGATGTGTCTTAAAGCCTAACGTTAAATGAAAAGCAAAGCAAGTGGTTAGGGACTAGGATCAGGGAATGCTAATCTCTGCATGTTGGAAACTATATGCTAATATTTTTAAAATAAAGAGAAAAAAATTAATTTTCAGGAGCTCATCTTTCACTAAAAATTATTACTTCCTAAAGGTGATATCAAATAAAAGAAATCCCACTCCATTTGTGTGGTCCATTTCAAATTTAGAAGTAATCTGCTCTTCATGTAGGAAAGTGCCTCCAACATTTGTTTCTGTCACTGCCTCTTTCCCGCTGCCCAAATCATATAATTAAAGACCTCTAGAACAACCTAGTGCCAAGAGATTTTATTCTCAATGAGCAAATAAAGTAGGGGGTAGATCCTCAAGACTTTGCATAAAACCATGTGTGTACATTATGCTGAGAAAAGGGGACACAACCTGGTGAGCTTCTCAAAGGGGTCAGGACCCCCAATAAATACACTCAGAACCTCTGAGCCGGTCTCATGGCAGGGATGTGAGGCCAGTTCCTGAGCAGCAGGTGTTCTGGGAGGTACGCCTTTCACGGGGGCCAAGGTGCTCAGGGGCAGCCCTGTGACCCTGGAGTCACAAGGAGAGGGGTCCTAATCCTGGCTCCTCTCACAGTTCGATGACTCTGGAGAGGTTACTTTCTGTGCCTCTGTTTTCTCCTCTGTAAAATGAGGGCAACACTTGGGACCACTGTGTGACTTCATACCTATAAATAGCCCGGCACATGCCATGCCTGGCACATGGCCAGAACTCAAGAACTGGTAACCAGCACAGGCCAGGTCTCCCTGTTACATGCTCTGGGTTCCGTCCGTCTCACCACATTCACAGCTATAATCAGTTACTCACGTAATTACTTATGAAATGTCTGTCTCTGCCACTATGATACATGCTCTTAGACAGAAGGAATCTTATCTCTCAGGTACAGAATGAGTATGTGTTGAATGGGAGGAGAGAGGATGAAGGAAAAAATGAATGTCTCTGCTTATGCAGAGCTGCTGGTTTTGAGAGCTAGGTTACTTAAAAGAAGTCACAGATTATAATCTGTGCAACTTCTGAGCTACGTACCAGGATATTATTCCTCCCATGGAACTTATAGCAGTTTATGATGGAGGTCAAAAAAGATCATTAAAGGAACAAAAGAGACAATTATCCCCTTTGAAAACAGCTTAGCTGGCCCTGGTCAGTATGGGTCAGTTGGTTGGAACACTGTCCCATAGACCTCAGGGTAGTGGGTTCGACTCCTGGCCAGGGCACATGCTTAGGTTGCAGGTTCAGTCCCTGGTTGGGGTACATGCCAGAGGCAACCAATCAATGTTTCTCTCTCACATCACCGTTTCTTTCCCGGTCTCTCTCCTTTCCTTCTCCTCTCCCTGAAATCAATAAGCATGTCCTCTGGTGAGGCTTTTTTAAAAAAAAGAAAGAAACTGGATGAAGAAGAATGAACTATAGGCAACACTGGACCAGAGAGTCCCAAGACCACGGGAGACATGGCTTCAATGATGAGGTTAAAACGGCTCTGGACTGGACCAAAGGGGAGGGTCTGCAGTCAGCTGTCACATCTTTCTGTCGTCAGTGGGGCAAAGCAGAAAGCAGCTAGGAGGCGGAGGTAAAAGGCATGCGAGGAGAAAGTGAAGAAAGTGGGAAGAGAGGTTAATAGGTCATTCTCAGAAAAAAAGCAGTGAGCAATGCAATCATTCCCATCAGCTGAGAGGATATGGAAGAAGACATTCTCATTGAAGCCATGGGAGATTCTCGGGCTCACACTTTCTTGGCATGAGCTCAGGTCAAAATGGTAACTGGCTTCCTTCCTTTCACACCCCTCTGAGACTCACAGGGAGTCAACTGAGCACTCAGTTCTAGCTGAATGATATCCAAGTACATGGAGGCAGGAAGGTGATCGGAATTTAATGATTAATCTCAGCTTGCTGCCACTCAATCGCTCTGCTCTTATCTTTATGTCAAGAAGTATAAAGAGAGAGGGAATAGAATAAAAAGACAGGATTTTTAAAAAAGTAAAATTCTTCATTGGACAAGGCAGAAAAATGAATCAAACACATTTTTAAAAGTTCAAAAGTAAGAACATTAAATTTTCTGAAAAACAGGATCTGTGTGTCATTGCGTACAGTAATTATAAATCTGACAGAGGGAGAAAATTATACAGTGTGTTTGAACTTGCCTTAGTCATTCTTATCATCTACAGACCATGGGGCAAAATGAATGTGCCTTAAATTTTGAAAATGAAACCGGGCTACTAAATAAACTTGTCCTTTGATTTGTATATAGTGTGTAAGTATTCCTGTATGGTTTACGCTGGCCCACTGTGACATTTCAAAATGAGATGCCCAAGACTCTTAGAAAACAACATGGACTCTCAGAGCAGACTCTAACTTAGCAGGGCCCTTGATGGATCACACTCATTTTCACACACAGATTCAAGGGGAGCCGTTAACAGATTCCACTCGCAACCACTTCTCTGTGTGAATCAAAATTTCTCAGTGGTTTGCAACCAGAAGATATTGCTAATATAAACTTGCAAATAGCATGGGTCTTTTCAATTCCTAATTTGGGGCTCACAAAAATTTTATAGTCCCCACTGATTTTTATAAAGGCATGAGTGAAGAGTTTGAACATATGTAATAGATTTATCCTAATGAAATATGATTTGTTTATTATAATATGATCTAAGGTGAAGTTATGTTTAACAAAAATGCTGAACCTTATTTTAATGAAAGTCTGAAAACTATTTAAGTACTTCTCTGCAATGCACTGCCTACTATCGAGACATTCAAATGACTTACGATTTCTCTTGCTTGTGGGACAAGGAAAAGAGGTCATAAACCAAGCACACTCCAAACACAGTGATGCCCGTCTCTTTCACTAGCATTGCGCAGGTCCCCAGAAACAAACCAAGCAGCAAGAAGAAGGGAGACGCCGTGGACGGGAAACAGCCCCCAACGCAGCACTGGTCCACACTCCTGAAAAACACGGTTGAGATTCTTCTCATCTAAGAGACACCACCTTTTAACAATAAGATCTAACATCAATTTCACTGTATTCTAAGTAGGAAGGTGAGCAAAGATTTCTTCAAGAAAAGAATCATTTAAAATTACAAAGAAAAAAGTGTCTAATATTGATTTGGGTACTTAAAGTATATGAAAATTACGATGAAACCTGGCATATAATAAACGCGCATTAAAAAGCCACTTAAATGCTACCACGGAGATATATTTAATGACATGGAAACATGTTTAAGTGAATATATTTTAAGTGAGTAGCACAGGTCACACTAAGCCACATGTGTGAACTCTGGAGCCAGGTCTCCTGGGTTCAAACTATTGCTCTGCACTTAATTAACAGGGTGATATGGGGCAGGTTACTTCGCCTCTCTGCCTCAGTTGCCGAATCTGTGAGATGGGATCACAGTGTTGGAGGGAGGATTCAATGAGTGATTCATTACATGTTAAATGCTTATCATCATTATTATTTTAGCAAAGGTATTTAATATGCCTTTGTATACAAAACAATCAGTGGAGATATATGAGCATATATAAACATACACACATATACCCCCTGAAACATAGTCATCTTTTCACTCTGTGATGAAAATACAGATGTTTTAGCTTTTTCTTCTCTTCTGCCTACTGTTTTTTTCAATTCATGTTCCATGAGGACGTCATTAGATAAAGGTTTTTCTCAGCCTGATTTCCAGTGGGGACTTTTCCAGAGCCTTGCAGCTGCGTGAGGTCTATTTGCATCTCACAAAAAGGAAGCGGCCCCACGAGAACAAGCGTCACTACGCCTTCAGTGGGTGCCACGCCTGCCTGTTCCTGACTCCTTTGAAGTAAAGGCCAATACTTCTGTGGCTGCGCTGTGTTACCCTGATTCTTATGTCTCGGAGCAGTCGCATAGGTCTGAACTCTTCTTCGATGCTAGTCTATAGCCTCAGTTGCTAAAAGTGGGAATGGCAGGCACACTAGGAACGTGGACGACGACGGCTTGTTATCACATAGATATGGATACACTACAGGCTTAATCATGTTCCCAAACATATCAACCACACGGAGAGGGTTCAAAAGAAGAAGTTCAGTCTGGTTCTAATAAACAAGAAACCACTGGTGAATTGGGATTTATACTGTTAAGACTTTTTACACCTTTATACATGACCAGCAGTGCCGAGGGAGGTCACCACGCCGGGAATAGAAGACTGGTACTATACTAAAAGGTTCTTCACTTTACTAAAACTCCATAAGACGATTCATTTCAGTCTTGATCCAAAGTCTAAATTGGTTTACAATAGGGTTTCACAGTTTCAGCACTATTGGCATTGTGGGGAAGAAGATTCTTCATTTTAAGGGCTGTCCTGTACATTGTAGGATCCTTGGTCTATCAAGCTGTGACAAGTGAAAATGTCTCCAGACATTGTCAAATGTTCCCTGCTGGAAGTAGGTGCAGACTTGCCACATATTGGGAACCACTGGTTTAGAACAGTGTCCCTCAGAGTCACTGGGCTTTGTAAGAGTGTAGAACAATGAACTGACCCAAAGATCAAGGTTCGGGAATCCCTACCCCGGCATCCCTCCACAAAGGAGAACAGCATGGTTTACTGGCCCCTTTTCTCAGGGCCATGCCCTGAGCCATTTGCCCCCATGTACAAGTTCTTCTCACCCTGCTCCTTTCTACAGCTGATTACGTCACCACTCAGGTGAGAACCTGATCACACTGCGGGGAAAGAGGCAACATAATTAAAAAATTGTTTTATTGCATTTCAATTTCCCCAAGCAAGAAGCTGCTGTATATTGATGAAAGAATATGTAAATTGGAAAACCACAGTTGAGAAAACTGCTTTCAATTCAGTCTTGTTTTAAGCTCTGAGCTACTTTAATGAGGATAAGGAAGCAAAAAAAAATTAGGACCAAAATGAAAAGGAAAAACCAAACAAATCATAGGGGCAAATAAGAGAGAAGACTACATCCCATATATTTTGGCTCAGAGCTAAGATTCCAAAACCCACTTTCAGTAAGAAACTACAATTAAAAGGAATCAAGGAGCAAGAGCGCATCTGCCTGGTACCAGGAGGGCAGTTCCTACAAAAGGCCACAACAGGGTTTGTAATGCAGCTGGAAGAGCGAACACCCAGCAGTTGGTAAGGAGAGGATTTCCTGAGCCAGGTTTCTGAAAAGCTCTCTGAGCATTTCAATGCCAAGAAGCCTCCCTCCTCTCTCAGGCAGAGGCCCCACGTCTGCACACATGTGCGCATTCACGCGCACACATGCACATGGCAGAAATCCCCTCTTTAGGGACAGCACGACTCTGTAATCACAGAAAAGGACATTCTTAGCTCTACCTACCTATTGTAGGAGAGGAAGGCCAACAGAAAGAGCAGGCACGCCAATACATCCGCTCTGCCGACGATTCCGGCCACCTAGGGTGTTTGAAAAATACAAAATAAAAACCTCAGAAAATTACTTCCAGAAAACCATTACAGAAATTTACTGGCTTATGTAGGGTATAATAAAGTGGGAAACACGCCATTCTTCAAATTCTAATATATGACTAACCACCTCTGGTTATCATATATATTTAATAATATGTTTACAGGAGGAGCAAAAGAGGAAGGAAGGGCCAACATTTTCAAGTTTAACCTCATTTTTAACCTTTCTTCTATAGAAGGTTAATTCATAGCATCCAAGTTTACTCATTTATTGGTTTATTCAAAAATATTTTTGAGCAATGACCAAGTGCAAGACACTGTGCTAGTCTTTGGGCCCTGGAGGGTGAATGGAGCCAAGGGCATTTACACAGCCCTGGGAAAAGGAGCTGAGGGATCAATAACTCTGACAAGAATGGGAATGAGTGTAAACTCATCACTGCTGTATGTGAGTGTATGTGCATGTGTGTATTTCTTAGCTCTGCCACTGAAAGGGCCTAAAAGCAAATACCCCAGCGGCAAAGAGCCCTCTAACTAATGGAGAGCCATTCCTCCTCCACCGAGAACACGGACTGCGGGGCTGAGCTGGGAGGTAAAGAGAAGCATGTCAGAAAGGAAGAAAGTGTTCAAAAAATGACAGGTACGTTTCAAAAGGACACAGAAGTTAGTGAGGAGCCACTGACCAAATACAAGACAATTTGAACATCACAATAAACATGGACATTAAAAATTATAAACCATTGAAAAAAAGACATTTGAGAGTGCATACTGGTAATAAATATATGGATGGATGGATGAATACATGTGTCAGTTCCTATATACACACAGTGAGCAAGTGAATGGAAGGGAGTGGACAGGTCGTCCTTCCATTAAAATCCCATTAACGACTGTAGAGGGAGGAGCGCAGTTGGAAAACAGCCATTTTGCTCCTTCATATGAGTACAGAGGGGCTCAGTCAACAAACAGCACAAAATATCAAAGCATGCTAAATCTAAGGTGTGAAAGTTGAATGAGGCACAGGATATTTGCAGGGTTCCAAACCATTTCCTCACTGATTACTTATTAGCTGGAAAATTTTTTTAAAAATAATTATACAATGAAAAAATGTGTTGCACTACATTATATCTTGACGAGGGAATAAAACAACCTCACCAATCAAGGGCGAATGGACACAGCATGGCACTGTCTGGAGTACCCTGAAGGGTACATCACTTGTATAGTCTGCCGGCCAGGAACGCACAACCTGAAGCTAATCGTGAGACATCATCGAATGACCCAGGGTGAGAGCATTCTACTAAAGTACACAAATTAATATGTATTTTCTATTAATAAAGTATAAGGTATATAATTCTACATTATTTTATAACATTAAATTTTATCATATCTTAATATCTTCTCATTTATATTATTGTATATCTTGATTTACTAACGCTATCACAACTCATTATAATCTAGTATACCATAATATAATGTTGTATACAATATATATTATATGTTACAAGTACATGTTTTACTAAGGTAATATACTATATATGCATATATTATACATTTATATTTTATATTTTATCTTTACATATTTCTAGATTATGTACTACATAAATATATTTATGTGTTTAATATTATAAAATGTTAATATACTATACACTTAAATAATACAGTAATATCATAAAATATAATATGTAGTATGCATTATATATTTATATTTTAATTGTGTAATATAGCATATATAATAGTATGGACTTCAAAGTTATAAAAAGTGTAATATTAAAACATTTTGTTATATACATTCTAACATAAATTTTAAATTATGTTTAAAGCTATATATTACTGAAGGACATAAAAACTAGTAGCTGTTCCAAACTTAAGGAGACTGAAGAGAAATGTTGATTAATGGCCTTGGTTTTAGAATATACAACTAAATTATTAAGGGATAAAGGGGCATGAATTATGCAACCTGCTCTCGAACGCTTCAAAAAACAACATTTTTATATGTTGAGAAAGAAAGGGAGGAAGAATGATAAATGTGGCAACTTTTGAAAAATTGGTGACTCTGGATAAAGAGTATATGGTCATTATATATGTTTTAATTTTTATATTTTTTAAATGTGTTACTCAAGAATAGGCCAAAATGGAATAGAGGTAGGGGCAGAAGGATATCTATAAATTTGTCTATTATTGCACTATTCAACATGTGTGTGAATGTCTCCTAATTTTTTTTCAATCCAAGAGAGAAAACTATAAAGAAAGAAAACAAGGTATGCTTCAAAGAATGCTTCAAAGAAAAGGTCACATATGAGCTGGATCTTAAAGATCAGGAGGATTCACAGGGAAATGAACTGGGTTAACATTTCGGGCACAGAAAAGAGCATCTACCAAATTACACAGGACCTGAAGTCACAGTGAATTGGAGACTCAACCAACAATTAATAGCAGAAAACAGTTTCCTGGGAAATGTTCCTATAAATACCCTCACATAACGAGCACACCTTGCAGTCATTACGGAGGTGCAGTGACACACGTCTGGGGTGGGACCCTCCGGCTCTGGAATACAGACTTTCCTTGCCGTCTGAGCGAGACTCAACTTGGTTATGTTTCATTTCTGAGATTCGGTTTTATTACCTTTAAAATGGATACAACACCCCCTATCTCATATGACTCCTGTAATTAACGAGATGATACATACAAACTGCCCACCCAACACGGGCGCCCTTCTTTCCCCCTTTTTCCTGCGGAGAAACAGGGTCACACTCTTAGCACTGAGACAGGACGCTCTGTGTGGATTACAGAAATCATCTTTTTACCTTAAGGATTACATATATTATCTTCTAATTTATCTTTATTAGATAATCTAATATATCTATTAGTTAAAACAGAAATAACAGTAATTCAATTATTACAGGCCTGCATATAGATTGATAGCAAGTCACGTATTGAGAAAAATTCTACTTCAGTTTAAATCAAGAGACACCTGGACATGGTCAAATAATTTCACTGGCAGTACAGAGTTGAAAGCTATTACCTAATGGGGCTGCTTGGACCACACACTGTTCGTTGACCTGTTAATCTATGACAAATTTGAGTGCCAAATCGGGAAGACTGCATGACTCAAGGGAGATAGGCAGTAACAATGTGGTGTCACCTCGGTGTCAAGGCCCAGCTCAAACTCACCATCTGTAAAGTGACAATTAATTGCACATGGTTCACCGGTGAAGTCCAAATCTGCTCAGTGCATCCCACTGCGTCTGTGAGCATGGAGCTCGACATCCGCTGTAAGGCCTGAGCCTTCTGAGAGTTGAACGGAGAGCCCAGCTTGCCAGCAATGAAGTACTGGGACCAGGCCAGGCATCTGGATCCAGAGGGACACCCACTGCAGCACAACTAAAGGGGCCAACTCAAACAACAGCAAGACCTGCAAGCTGATACTGGGTGTAGCAAGCTGCAGTGAGGCAATCATAAGCTAGGCAAGCATAACGAATGCATTAAAGGCACCTGAAGCCCCACTTCTCAAATTGCAGCCAGTTAGTGCTGCTGGGAAACAACAGCAGCAGCAGAATATGCCAGCTGGATGTGTCCCGATATAAAGAACGCAGAGTCCCTTGGAGTAGGTCGGGGGTGTTAAAACGTTAGTGCTAACACTGATAGACTTTGTTGCCAATTACCAACCATGAAGCATTCACTGAACATCTACTCTATATTTGTGTTGAATTAGGGTCCTGTCAGCAACTACTATGTGCCATTCATTGTCACTCGATTAGTTAATAGGATCATATTCAGCAATTGCACGGTGTATTCTAGTCAACAAACATCTTCCAAATGCCTCCTGTCAGGTATTATGCAAGCTGGAGGGATATAATCTACCTCAAGGAGTTTAACATCTGGTGAGGAGTCAAAGGAGTGTATTAATATGATACAGGGAAGCTGCTGTCTCATAAAGAGGAGAAATAACTGCCATGGGAAGACTAAAGAAATTAATTTTGACATTTGGGTCTGGGAAGGCTTCGTGAAAAGGCTGGCCTTACACACTAAAACAAAGGACGGGCCAAGGAAGACTTCAGGAAGCTCATGGTAGGGGAATGCAGATCCTGGGCCAGAGAGGAAATGCAGAAGCATTCTAGGCAGAGGAAAGAAAAGTCAGAAAGCAAACAAGGTGTTTCTGGAAGGGAAGGCATAGAGGAATGAGCATGGAGTAAATGGAAAGGAGGCAGGAGCAGGCACTGGGAAGCAAAGACAGAATTTAAAGTTGAAGCCCCTTGGGCTTGATTCTGCGACAATGTCAGCTGAAACCTAGGATACTGGGAAGTACAAAAGAACTTGCTCAAAAACACATGCAGATGGACAGCATGTAGTTCTGCTTCATGCTGCAGGTTTTTATCTCCTAGGGGGTAGTTGTAACCTGAGAACAGTATCCTTTAAATATTCAAAAGTGAAAAAAACACAGGTGAATTTGGCAGAATTGGAATAATGTAACATTCAGATCTCCGAGTAAGCCTAACAGAATTATGTGGAAAGTGCCGGTTAAGAACTTAATTTCCTCCCAAAACATATTACTTCTTGGAATACCACTCATAGGATTTGTATAAAGTTATTAATCATTTTATCTGCAAGGATGAGTTCCATTAGCATCAGACAGAGCCAGGAATGCACACTCAATACATGGCAGCAGCTAACGGCAGGACGGACTGATCAGATCAGTTCTCTCCTACGTGCTCTTATTCCGGTTCTGGAAACGTTGACCTTACCTTGCAACTCACTGTGTCAGCATTTCCTGCTGATGCTTTTAACTAAAGTGCACTTCTTCAAACCAGTAATAATGTCTCTGTGATGAGTAAGTCTTAATTCTCATTGGGGACTACAATAATTTTCCCAATTACTGATTTTCCTCACAATTTCCTAAGAAATATAATGTCGGGAAGCCCTTCCAAGAACTACAAAGCCTTAAATGAAGAAAGGTCTGAGTTTATCTCATTCGTGGCTCCACCCCTGCACTGAGGGCA